GCATATTGGACAAGGTTGCTAGAAAGTCCTGTGTCAGAAGTCTTCATTGTTTCTGTATGAAGCTGTTATTAAACACAGGATGTTGTTGGGAAAATCACGATGATATTCAAACCTTGTTACAAGTGTCTGAAGTTGGGCCAGAGAGATAGCTCAGCAGACTAAGTGTCTGCTTAGGCAAGAGCAGGGATCAGGGTTCAGTTCCTAGTATCACAGGCTGCACAAACCCTGTCCCTGGGCACTGTGATCGGGCATGGTGGTGCATGCCTATAATCCCAGTGCTGGGAAGGCTGAAAACAGGAAGATCACTGGGAGTCTGAACTACACAGTGAAACCTTGTACCAAAAACATAAAAAGAAACAAAAAAAAAAAAATGCCTGAAGTTTTAGCAGTCCAACAAAGTTCATATTTTCAGGTTTTCCATGCCCTTGTAACTTTGCTTATATAATTTGGTGTGCAATTAATTTGCTTCTAAGAAAGCTTTTCTACACTTAACTATAATTGGGAAAGTCATCAAGAAACTAGCCATGAATATATTTAAGTATCACTTATATTCTTGGAGTGGTTACTAGAAATTTGCTGACTGCAGTGAATAATAAACATGGAAATAAACTGTGGAGAATGTTGAATTGATAGAAGTTGCTTGTTTGGATGATGGTCACGGACTGACAGGAACATCTGTGGAAAGGAAATTGAGTTTGTCTAGGCTTCTCCAGCAATTGGATTTCTGAATATTCATCAATCCTTCTTAGGTAGATACTGATATGTAAAGGATTCTGATCCTTTCTCAGAGAGGGCACTTAGAATCAAGTCCAGTCCTTTTGAAATATACCAGTTAAGTGAGTTATTAGTGTTAGTGTTGATGGCGTTTTCACTGAAAATATGTTAGCATGGCAGAAGAGTATAATTACTTTGATGCACACTAGCTTTTGTTTATAATTCACTTTTAAGATTACAACCTCTATACTAAACAATGCTAATGTTAATCATCAAAGAAACACAATTAGTATAATTAATTGGTTAGGGTTACTTTTAAATTAAATTGTTTCTTTATGAATTGTATTATAGTAAAAACATCAGCATTTATGAATAAATTATAAATTTTCACTTTATAGTGTAATACCAGACTGAGTTAAAAGTTGAAGAATAACATCCTTGTAAACATTGTGCTCTCATCCTCATATAACTACCTAAAAAAGTAAATAATCAAAAAGATTCAAGAGAAATTATGAAAGGGAAAGAAACTGTGTAAAGGGAGGGTACGACTGGAATGAGGGAAAAAAGAAAAGAAAGAATCATGGAAAACAAATTATATTTATATGTATGTATGTACACAGAATAGCTTGGAAACTCATACTGCTGATATCTACTAGTCTATTGCAAGGAACGGCTAAAATTTAATTTTTTCTTTTAATTTAACCTTTTAATCTGACCTTCCTTTGACCAATTTTGCATGTTTATATCTGATAATTTGAACAACTAATTTGAGGACAACAATATGCCATATAACAACTTTTGTTTAATTCCAATAAGCAAATAAAATCTATATCTGAACATCAACAAAAAGTATAATATCCTTAAAAATCATGAGAAATTCATTTCCTTGTAATAATTCTCCTAAGGCCAATTCATAAACAAATAAGCATTATTCCTTGTTTTCTGATAGTTATTCCCTCTTTAGTTAACAGCCACTGCACAACACTGAGATTCCATCTCACCCCAGAAAGGATGGCTGACATCAAGAAGTCAGCCAACAGCAAATGCTGGAGATGCTGCGGGGATAAAGGAAATCTTTTCCACTGATGGTGGGAGGGCAGACTTGTACAACCACTATGCAAATCAGAGTGGAGATTCCTCAAAAACTAAGATTGGAGGTTGCATTCAACCTTATTCCCCTCCTTGATATTTTTCTGGAAGAACTGTAAATAACATACCGTGGCAATATATGTGCACCCATGTTTGTAGCAGCACAATTGATCATAGCTAAGTCTTGGAAACAACCAAATGTCCATAAATTGAGGAGTAGACAAAGAAAATATAATATTTTTACACAAGGGAGTATTGTTCAGAGATAAAGCAGGATAGATGTGAGGCTTTTATCAGCAAATGGATGCAACAAAAGAACATTCTCTTAAGTGAAACAGACCTGCATGTGCAAACATTGCACTGTCTCCTTATTGTGAGAACCTGAAAGAGAAAATAAAATCTGAAGGACACAGTAGATTCTGGGAAAAGAGAGTGAACCTATTCAAAAGGAAGGAATTACTGAGTTGAGAAGGACAAAAATGGGAGTGAGGGAAATGGATACATCTATGTATGTAGGCAGGATGTTTTAAATAACTGTATTGTGTATATCTGCTGGTCTATGGAAAGAAGCAGTTAATTCTTAATTGTCTTGTCTACTTTTTCATTTGTTTATACTTTTTGTCTTCTTATATTTCATATATTTCTTCTTGTCTCAATTTACCATGCATGTATCTGGTAATATGAACAACTAGTTGAAAGACAACACTATGCATTACAACAAATACGTGAAATTCATATTATTTTGTTAAGTGAAATTTTCTATCACTTGTAATTTTTCTGTTTGAATACTATTTTGTACTCCCTTTTAAAAATAAAAAGGTATGAAAAAGATATGTCTCAAAGATTTATGACATGTGTTATTGAGCAGTTGGCTGCACTTATAAATTTTTTCTTTTTTATTACTGATGCTTTGGAGGCCATTTGAATTATATATTTACATTTTAATAGTTAGAGTTTTGTAATCTTGACTTAATTATTGTGGGATTGATAGTGTTTCCCTGCCACCTTATCCATCTGAATCATTATGTTTTTTTTTTTTTTGCATGCTCAAAAGAATCAACTTTACAATTACTGACTTATCTGTCCTATTAATTATCTATTTTACTATAGATATCATCCAATGAGTCACTATTCATACAAAACTCTTTAAAGCTTGCTGATTAGGGAAGAGGATTACATTTCTCTTCCATTTTCTTATCTATGTTCCTTTTTCTTGCTTCCTCTTATATCTGAGTACAAACAGACCCAAAAACTACTTAACGGCACTTTTAATTTTGATACCAGTACACTTTGGGCTTCATTTACAACAAATAGGCCTCAATTAGTCATTTGCACATGGAGCTATATAAACATTTATCAGTTACTATATCTTATATGCACAAAGTGTATTTTCTTCAAAATGGTGTGGATAACATCCGTCCTCAATCATAGTCAAAGTTTTCCCAAATAACTGGCATGATATTATATCTAAGTATCTTAACATAATATACTGAACAGACTTCCCACCTTTTAATGGAAATTTCATGTCATCTACAGTCAGAGAGATTCAAAGTTGATTGTTACTTTAAATTTGTTTCTAGAATTTCTAGCAGAAGTCTGATGGAATGATTTTAGAAAGGTAACTCCAGTGAAGAAGTTTTATGTGTGTGAATATATAGAACGAGTGGAAGCTGGCCTTCCCTAGGCAGATGCACTGCTGTCACCACCCTGAGTACCGCAGTGCTAAGTTCTGAAGGGTCTTTGCATCTAGACAGAAAGGAAATCACTATAACCAGCTCTTACATTGATAAGAGAAATGTCAGCAAGTTCCCTCCACACCTGAAAAGTTACAGGGGAAGTTGAAGGACTGTATGATAAATATACAATAGGCTGCTCAAAAAAAATTTATGGTAAATGAACAGGTCTTCAGAATACCAAGCAAAGGATAATCTAAAAAAAAAATGCAGAAAAAATACTAATACCTTCCACCAGATCAGGAATAGAATAAATACAAATAAGTGCTGGGGAGATAGTTCAGCAGCCTAAGTGCCTGCCCAGCAAGTTCAAGGTTGCAAGTTTGATCACCAGTAACACACACACACACACACACACACACACACACACACACACACACACACAGTCACGCACACAGAATAAGTATAAATGCTTTCATGTAATCATTCTCCACAGAGCTTTATAATTGTATAATGCAGATTCCTCCAAAAGTTTGAAAAGCACCTATAGAATGTTCAAGAAGACTAAATGTTGAATAACTTTATAAATACAAATAGTTCTACAAAAATATTAAACATTAAACACTAATGTTAGATTTCTAATTCTGGAGAGTTCCAACTTATATCTTGACAGTAAGTGCATCGATCTTTTAGGAAACTGACTCCAGTATGAAAAGGAAACAATAAAATGGAATATCAGAAAATTTCCATTTCTACTGCAAGTACTTTTAATGTATTTGGTGACTCCGACATGGATGGACACCTGCAACATGCAGCATAACACAGCCACGTTGGCTTTTCATCCACTCTCACCATTTCTACATGTGGGATTTGAAATTTTTATTTAGTGCTGTTAATGCTCTAAATGGAATGTTTTCCAATCACACTCAAGGCCTAAATCATAAAGTAGTAGAGAGAGAAAATTAGTGACTTCTCCCAAAAAAATCAATTCTTAAGGGAAAAAAGATATTTCTTGTTTACCAAAACTATAAGCAAATCCTGAGACTGACATTGACATAACAGAGTGAAAATATTTTGTCTAGTGTTTCACAGTGTCAGAGTACTTTTAAAATTGTGTAAGGATACAAAGCACATTCTTCCTAATGTTTACTTTGTAAAGGAGATGTGAAAATTCAAGAAGCTTCTCAAAAGAAATTTTACAGTAAATTTCCAAGAAAAATGATAATCAATAAAATACTAGAAAATCAGAAAAGATATTTCCCTGTATAATATTTTATAAGAATAAAAGGTACCGCCATAATAGCATATGTCTATGAAGAAAATATATCTGTGTTTCAAACCACTTTCTTATGTTTGGAACCTAAGCCATATCAGAATTGAGGGTGGCTTGTACTGGTGTGGCTACCTTAGTTTTTTCATTTTAGTTAAATGTATTTAAAATGTTCAGTTTTGGAAAATAATTCATTGCAATGTGGTGTTATTAATATTTCATTTTCAAATACCTTAAAATGATCTTAACACCAGGTGTTCCAAAATTTCCAAAAGAAAAAATTGAGCCTCTGGATATAGAAGAAGGAGACCCCATTGTCCTCCAGTGCAACCCTCCCAAAGGCCTTCCACCTCTGCACATTTACTGGATGAACATTGGTAAGCACTGTTCCCCTCCATCAACAAGGGGCCATGGAATTGCGAACATCATGTAAATAATGGAAAGCATTTAGAGATAGAGCTTGGCATGGTGGTGCACACTTACCATCCCTGGAGACTGAGGCAGGAAGATTACCATGAGTTTGAGGTTAACTTGGGTTTCATAGTGAATTTAAGGCCAGCCTGAGCTACATACTAAAGAAAGCATGTAGCTAAAAGAAAACTAACACCTCTCAACTAAAAGAAATCAAAGAGAAAATATTCGTATATGATTATCCATGTGGAATTAAGTAGACTTCTAAAATTGCACATTGGAAGCTTGTCCTTAGTTCTAAATATAAATAGAATTAATCCGAAGTGTGTATGTGAAAATACTAGAAAAGTAGAAAAGATATCTCATGTTATCATACTTTACAAGAATAAAGTGTACTTCCATAATAGTATATATCTGTGAAGAAAATACTTCTGTGTTTCAAACCACTTTCTTATCTTTGGAACCTAAGCCATATCAGAATTGAGGGTGGCTTATAGTGGTGTGGCTATCTTAATATTTTCATTGTAGTAATGTTCTACCTATTAAACATAGTGACCACAAAACATTTTGTATTAACCTCTGCACTTAATTAGCCAAAAGGCCTGTAGCCTCTTGATATCAAACTCCGGAATCTGTAAAGTCCCTTCTTAGCATGAGTCTTAGAGGTGCTTCTTCGATGGTCCTCTCTGGCTTTCTGAGAAAAGTGATGTCTGTATAGCCCTAAGAAGCAAATGAAATTGTCTTGGATGAAGTCAACATTTCCAGACTCTGGTCATTCTAAAATTTTCCATGTTGTATCCACAACAGAGAGGGAAAGAGGTCACAGAAAATGAAAGTATGAATCAGACTATTAGCTGATTTACCAGGATTCAGATAAGACAATGCTGAACCAGAAAGCAGAAACACAGACTCAGACAGTCAGAGCAGTGGACTGCTCAAACTCATGTACACCAGTGGATTTCTTTGATTAATACAAGATATGTATGTGCAAGGTGATTTCTGTATGTTTTGACTGCACTTCAATTATTTCTTCTCTATTAAGTTAAGATTCGAGAGAACTACTAGGAGAAGACAAGAAAAATCAAATCAAGTGAAATAACAGAAAAGAAGCAAAATGAAAAAGAGATAAGATATCATAAAGGGCTCTTGTCCCATTCAATGACAAAACATTTCTTTGCAGAATTAGAGCACATTGAACAAGATAAAAGAGTGTACATGAGTCAAAAGGGAGACCTGTACTTCGCAAATGTGGAAGAAAAAGACAGTCGGAATGATTACTGCTGCTTCGCTGCATTTCCAAGACTAAGAACGATAGTACAAAAAATGCCAATGAAACTAACAGTTAACAGTTGTAAGTCCAAATAATTTATTCCATCGTGCATGATGAATGCAAATTTGTCTATAATTTTATCATGGCTGAAGCCATTTAAAGCTAGGTTGGTATTTTCTGTCATTGTTTAGTTCAACTCTAGAGACTCCGTCCAGATGAAAGAGACATCTGCAGCTGCAAATCCACAGCAGCTCTGTCTCTGGCAGCCAGAAAATCAAATCTCAATTCACAGTACAATTGTTTTTCATTTATTGTCTGCAGACCCAGTGGGTGAAGTACAAAATGAAATTCCAGGGTTTTCCAATCAAGTCTCAGGCATTGATTCACTGTGACCTTGGAAAAACTAAGGGACTTAAATTGGGAAGTAGAAAGCTTAAAAGGTCAAAAACTAATCAATATTAAAATCTTATAGTATGAAGTTTTTCTTTATTCTTACCAAATTAGCAGAGATTTTAAGCTTATCCTTGTTCCTACTGAATTCTGCAAATGCCAACATTCTCAAATGTGCAAAAGCAATTCACAGGAGGAAGATTTATAAGATTCATAGTGAAGAAAATTTCCATCAGCTCCCTGACTGTGGAACCAACGTTCGTGTAGCTGCAAGGTGGCATTTCCATCTCATTGTCTGATGTGATCCATGCTATTTTCTTTGTTTTGTATTGATACACCGTACCACATCTTCACTATAACACCTTTCAGTAATCTAATTTCTCTGTAATGGATTTATAACTTTAAAATTTTCCACGTGGTTTAAAGTGTGGTAATCCAAGATTAAGCTCATTTAAAAATGTTCTCATTATGCAAACCTATTTTCCCATAGACAGTGTTCTAGTGAAGCATGGTTCTATCTCATTTTGTAATTCTCACTGGAGAAATATTTGGCTTTTCATTATTTATAGATACCAGCATCTACCATTATGTTTGTGTTTTTTTCTTCCATTTTTTATTTCAGTAAAGCATGCTAATGACTCAAGTTCATCCACAGAAATTAGTACCAAGGGTAAGTTGGACGTGTGTGTTGTTGGCACTTATATTCACTTTAGGTAGTTCATTATCATCTCTGAATTAGAATGTTTTCCTTGCTACCATCATGAGTTTAAAAATGTGAATATATCTGTTGATGAAACACCCTCAGCAGGTCTGTCTCTCATCTCCTCTCAAATATATGCAAAGGAAGTGAGTTTTATAAAGATATAATTAAATAAACACAATGGTATATTTACCTACACTATAATTTACATAAATAAATAGATATAAATACAGATAGAGATAATTGATCAAGAAGTTACTCTGGGACTCTCAAAATGTTTCATGTTGTGTAAGACTCATAACTCTATGTGAAGAAAGGATAAATAAAATCATAGTAAAGGATGAGAACTAGAAAAATGCTTGGTTCAAGACAGTTAAATGATTATTATTATTGTTATTGCAGCAGTTGATATGGCTCTATACATTATGACTCTCCAAAAAAGAATATGGGGGCAGTATTTTCCTAGCCCATTTGTCTGTGAAATCTTCAATACATTGAATTTTATTTTATCCCTAGAAAACCTAACAGAAGTTGTGTTCTTTATAGGATTCCTGAAATGTAGAGTAAGCTAGTTTTCTATAATAACAATCATATACATGAATGCAAGAACAACATTTATATCACATGTAGTAATGGTGTAAGTTAGAGTCCTAATAGATTGGTGACATCAGCAGAATATATTGCTGACTTCGCTTAGAGAACCCTCCTTTTTCAGGTGGGCTATTCATCCCAATATTTATTATTTTCTTTTGAATGAATAACTACAATGTATATATTTCTGCATCTTCAGAGATTTTATTTAGGTTTTTATTTGCTAAATAAAAATCACTGTACATAGTACGTGTTGGAAAATTATTTCTCAGTAAATATATAATGATAAAATGTTATTACAAAATATACACTGCTCCTACTGTTGCACATTATTTTCTTATGATTGCAGAATATCAGCTATTTATTTTCTTTCCATAGAAGGTAAAGTTGCCTTGATATTAAGTGAAAAAAATCAACTTATAATAACCTTCAACATAAAATAAAATTTGCAGCAAAAATAGGTCTGCTTAATTGCCATTGCATTTCCAAATTATTAATAATAAGAAAAATAGAGCATGATAGTTTGTAGTTAGTGAGAATACTTGCTAATCATTTCTTGATCTGTTTATCTTTGACGATCTGAAGCCAGAAAGAGTTCCCAGAAGAGCCTGTAAAGCTCATAGACAGCTAGTGTCTACCATAGGCTTCTTGAATCAGAATTTCTGAATAGAGTATAGGAAGTTTTTCATAGGAACCACATCCAATACTTAAGAAGATTAAATTAAAGAAAAACACAAAGTCATATAGTTTCTCATAGCCTGCAAAAAAAAAAAAAAAAAATCTAACCTTCCCTTTTCCTTTTATAGCAAATTCAATCAAGCAAAGGAAACCTAGACTGCTGCTGCCTCCCCCTGAGACAGGCAGCGAATCTGCTGTCACTATCCTCAAAGGGGAAGCTCTGACGCTGGAGTGTTTCGCTGAGGGACTGTGAGTAACCTGCCGACTCCATCCACCCGCTATGGGAACAATGAGGCCTCAATTAAGAATGTGCTTTTATGTCTATGTAATTTTTTTTTCTTAAAAATAAATCCTGTTAACTATATTTTTGGAAAAAATAATTTGTACTTCACTGCACACATTACAGGTTATGACTGAAATTTACTTCTAATTAGATTTCTTAGTCAACTTGTGATACTGTAAATTGAAGGAACAAAGTCTTCCTCTTGTCAACTGAACAGCCTAATGCCCCCATGAGAGCTGACAGTGTGGGTGTCAGCCCGTTTCTATTCTTACCTCTCTTTTTATTTTCTACTCTCTTAGCTTCAGCCTCTCTTGTTTGCTATGTTACTAACTTTGCTGCCTTAAATTTCCAGATCCTGTTTAGACTGTTATCCTGTCAGCCTTTAAAGTCAAGAAAGCCCAGATCATGGAGTTAATAAGTTTCACACATAACCTAATTAAATGAACTTTGTTCCTATCTATAAAAGATTGTGCTTCTCTAGTCCTCCATGAAGGTGCTAAGGGATTGCACTTGGTTGTCTGAAGCTACTGCATGTGTGCAGTCACCTCAGGAAGTCTGTGTAACCTAGTGTCAGTCTATTAACCCCGTTACTAAAATTTTAATTTCGATCAGTAAAGGTCACCTGCTTGTGCCACTATCCCTGAAGATTCAGTGGTCCTTTGATACCATTGCAAAAGCTGTGGGGAGTTGCAGGGCTTCCTCCGAACACGCAAGTTTACTTACTTGAACATGAAACAAGATCATAAGCTTTAGGGAGATTTGAATTTGACATTTCAAAAATCATATTTATCCATAATTTTGTGTGCCTTCTAAATGACTAGCTTTAAATTAGATTTAGATGAAAAAGGGTTTTAATGATTCCACAAGTCCTATGATTTTTAACCTTTTTCTTATCCTGGAAACAACATCCAGTATGCTTGTCTGCCTTACACTGCCAATGTGTATTCACAGTTCCTTCGATGTGCCATAATAGAACTCTCTCATGAAGTCTGGCCTCTGTATTTTTCAGCAGGTTAAAGACTTCCGGTTCAAGCTGAGTCATGAAAGTAACTGCTCAAGTGATTTTATTTCTATGTGGTTATAGTGGTACAAATTAAATTATTTCAGGGTTTGTCACTATTCTGGTTTGACTTTGGGGGCAGAGGAAGAGTTTCAAGTTTCATTTCCATGGTTTACATATTACTGGCTGACACATACACACAGGTTGTCTTCAAAGTAATAAAAATGTTCTCATGAGCTTTGGAGAAATTGAAATGTCATGAAGTAACATATAAAAAGAAAATAAACATCAATTTGTGTAATGCTTGGACAGCAAAGTTTCTTACACATTTTCATAAGAGGTTTCACCTCAAGTGTTCTCTTCCCTCTTAATATTTTTTTTTTTTTTTTTTTTTTTTCAGAACCGGGGATTGAACTCAGATCCTTGCGTTTGCCAGTCAAGCGCTTATCCTACTGAGCCATCTCCCTGGCCCCTTAATATGGGTTTTGCGTACACAATTCTATTTCTTTTTCTTCAACTGGGAGTGGTACAATGGAAAAAGATTTTAAAATTAGAAAAAAATGTTCTAGGAAGTTATACCAACAAAAATAATTATGGCTGAACATTGTACTACAAATCTTTGTCACGAATTATGTTTTGCACTTTACATAAATTAATTCACACTACCCTCACCATGTATTCACACTACCCTCACCGTGTTTCAGGGTCTTATTTATTCCCTTTTGCAGGATGGATAAATGAAGTGCAGAACAGCCATGTAGAGAAGTGAATTCACTTTTCTAAGTTTAATAGAAAGTGAAACTGAATTCCACCTTGTCTCCAGAAACTTAAACTACCCCTAAATATAACATTTTTGCATAATATTTTAATTTCATGTATGGTTTGATGTAAAGTTGGGGGCATATAGAGAGGGCGGCATTACTGCTGAATCTGAAGTTGCATTAAAGTAGAAATTTCAGTAAATGTTTAATAATATTAATCAAAGCAAGAATGCTTTTAAAGATATATACATGTAAAGGGGATGAAAATCTATAGACGCTGTCATTAAGGTGGAAATTGGGAAGAATTAATGACATTTTAAACCTTATTATGAGAGAAAAATGTTTGGACCCTGAGTGAAAAATAATCAAAAAATAGTTCACTCACTGACAACCTGTGAAACATCAATAAACTTAACATGAATTTAAACTGGGTATGATTATATAGCAAGATAGCACATTGTAAACAAGAGCTATAAGAGTAAAGTTGGCAAGATAAGAACCTGAAAACAAATTGGAGGCTAGAAGATAGTATATATTTATGATATTTGTGCATGGAAATTCTTTAAGCAATATATTTTCCAACAAAACATCATTTCCCAAATGGTATTGGTAAATGTTCCTTAAGAGAAAAGAAATTGGCGAAGATACAGCAAGGAATTCCTTCAGTGGCATAATCCTGTCCCTAGATAATCTCCCTGGTTCAGCTAACACTTAAAATTATTTCATTTGATTCTTTGATATGAAAGCCATTAGAAGATTGACAGTTTTCAAAACCAAGGATAAAAATAATAATAATAATAATAATAATAATAATAATAATAATAATAATAAATAAACAGATCTGACAGAAAATGAGCCACTTGTGCTATTAAGGAATGAACTTATAAAATTCTTCTCTGAGAAAGGAACTGAGGTCCAGAGCAGCCTGTGACTTGGCACAATATCATGTGACCATGGTCAGCAGTTAGGAGACTTGGGCTGTGATTTCTGTTGGTGGCGGACTCAGCAAGGCAGCAACCAATGTCACTTGTGCCCCGTTCCTAAGTAGGATGCCACACGCTCTAACCTGACCAAATACATTTCAGATGTGGAAGGCAGAGAAGTCCTTGAGCCTTGGAGGGAGAAGAAGTCACCAGAGAGCTGTAAAGCACCTGCAGCTTTACCTCCAAAGTTACTGCATAGTAATGAATAATTTTAACCCTTGCTTATAAATAATAAACAATTTGGGGCAATCATTTCATTTTTAACTAACAACCAATAGGAACTTGGGCTACAAGCATAAATCTAAGAATATGCAATCAGGAAGGACACAGATTTTTATGAAAAGCAAAAATCTAATAAAAATGCTAATAAAAGCAGGTTTATGGTCATTTATTATTACAGTGACCTTAATCAAACTAGCTTCTTGGAATTTCAAATTTCTTACTAATAGAAAGATAATAATATTCACCTTTATAACATGCTTAGTAATTTACAACTATTGGTAACAAAAAGGAATGCAGTGAAAAAAAGTAGTGTCAGTGAAAATAACAAAATTAGATTTTTCCATTCATGTAATCCAACTAGGGAGCAGAAATCTAGTATAACCTCTCTCGCATATAGGCAGCCATCATTGCTTTCCATGTCAATTTACGATCACCTGAGGCTTCTATTTTTCAAGTTTTCATGAGAAATGATTTTGTTCTCTTAGAGCCAGTTTGCTTAACTCCTCACTACTGTTTTCTTTCAGCATAAGGCAGAGAAGTTTTCCCACTAGTTTGTGATGTAATACTACTTTGATTGCGTGTGTGTGTGTGTGTGTGTGTGTGTGTGTGTGTGTCTTCTCTGGACCGGCTAATGTTCCCAAAGCCAGCCCCCTGTCAGGGACATTTGGTTCTTGCCTCCTTACCTCTACTCCCCACAGGAGAAAAAGCCACCTGGGTAGCAGTGACTGTGCACTGTGCCCGTTAGCTTGCCTGGGCTGAACTAGATCGCCCTCGGCCAGCTGGTGCATCAGGCCACCTTCTCCAGTATCAGCTGCATTAGGATGAAAGGTGAAGTCATGGCACCCCACTGCTGACTACGAGAACCTTTTCATCGTGTCTTTCAAACTCACATGTGACAGAGGCATTGTATCTCTGACCCTCTCAATCTACCTTCAGGGAAATTTTAACACTTCAAGAACTGTTTTGAAACATTATTTCTATGATACGGACTCCAATTATTCATTGAGCCACATTTGGTCAGCACATACATGTAGTCAGGCCAGTTTAGAGTGAGGATGAGGATTTCCAGGGATATAGACTCTTTAAGGAATTTACACTGAGAGAGTCCAACCATGATTTTACCACTGAAAATGTTGTGTCTGTCTGTTGCCATTTCTGCATAATTCAGGAGTACCTGGTAATGTATGACAAACTAACTGATGTAGAATGTGCCCTGAGGATTGATTTATACTTAATATTGATTTTTCTCTTTATGTATTTATGTGCTTTTTGTAGACCAACTCCAGAGGTTGAGTGGACCAAATTGGGTGGTGATTTACCAAAAAGAAGTGAAACAAAAGAAAATCATGGCAACACATTGAAGATAGAAAATATCTCCTACAGGGACAAAGGAAATTATCGCTGTACAGCTAGCAATTTCTTGGGATCAGCCAGTCATGATTTTCATGTCATAGTGGAAGGTACATTATCCATGAGGATTTATATTGCAACTCTAATGAATGAACTCATGTAATTAAATGATTTTTGCCTGTATTCTACATGTGTTATCATGCCTTAGAAGCTTTCCCTTTTATTTGTAGCGTGTGCACTGAATTATATCACAGTGATGAGGTTTTACATGTACCCCACTATTGCAAAACCACATGAAAGGGACAAAGGACATGAAAAGGTCTTATATAGGGTTTAAACACAGTTTCCATGATTGATTCAAGTACTTACTACTCCTCATCTCTTAAATCATCTTATTAAGAAAGATGGTTTTCATTGTAAGGTACAAATGATGTGTAGAATATTAACTCAAAGAAGTAAGGAAAGAAGGCAGCTGTGGTAGCACAAGCCACGTTTCTACTACTCTGGGTGTCTGTAGCAAAAGGATTGTAAGTTCAACTCCCTGCTGAATAACTTAGTGAAATATTGAGGCTTTATCCCAACATAAAATAAAGAACAAGGGCTGTGAATGTAGCTCAGATGGAAGGTCCTGGCTTCATTCCTCAGTATCACAAAAAATTAAGGATTATGATGGAAGAAAGTATTACAGGTGTCTTGAAAAAGTTTGGGGTCCAGGGAGATAGGAGATAACTCAATAGAATAAGTGCTTGCCTGGCAAGTGTAAGGTCCAGAGTTCAATCCCGGGTACCACAAAATAAATAAATAAATAAATAAATAAATAAATAAATAAATAAAAAGAAAGTTTGGTTTTCTCTTCCTAAACTTGTCATTAGCTTGCTGTGTCCTGGACCACTTTATTTTATCCTTAGTATCAGTAACATTTTCATCATTGCATCGCTGGGACAGAATATCTGACATGTGCAATTTAAGGAGGAGAGGCTTCCTTATTCAGTCTGTGACTGGCTGGCTCCAAGGAGGAAACAGAAGCAGCATGATGGAATGGTAGGGCAGGACAGCTGCTGGCCTCCAGCCAGCCAAGAAGCAGGTACAGGGGACAGGAGCCTGAGAGGAAGATACACCCTCCAGAGCACACCACTTCCAAAGAGTCCCACCCTCCAGCAAAATATTCAAGGGTGGACTCATCAGCAGATGATCCCTCTAAGGAGCCGAACGCTTCCACGATCGAGTCGCCCGTAAACTCTACCTCTGAGCGTTTGAGACTTTTAGATTTCTTTTCTTTTTTGGGGTTGGGGGGCAGGACCGGGTATTGAAGTCAGGCCCTTACGCTTGCCAGGTAAGCGCTTATCCTACTGAGCCATCTCCCCAGCCCCCAGACTTTTAGATTTCAACATAAACCATAGCTCTAGACTTCAGTTTCTTCATTGAAATAATGAGGAAGTCTTAACCCTGTCCTCAAGCCAACAATTTGGGGGAGGTTAATATCTTGAATTTAAATGATTTTCAATAGGCTGTTTATGGGGAAAGGAGAATAGACTGTATGGTATAAATACTACCCATTTTGGACAAGACTAAACAAAAAAGGGGAAATAATTGAAAGATCACTTTATATCTGCATATTCAGAATAGGATAGACATGCAGATACTTTCTCTGAATTCAGTGAGAAGAAAGATTAGTACTAATACAAGTGTTTATGGACAGGATATCATGTCTGTATCTTGTACTATGAATAACCACTACAAAGACAACAATATGCAATGTATTAATTATTGAAACTGTCCTACTAATCAGTTTTGAAACTGTCTCATTGCTATTTGTTTCTCAAAAAAATGATAAAAAATAAAGTACTTTAAGATATTCTAAAAAATAATACTGATTCCTTATCAAAATTAGAAGTACATTATGTTCAAGTTGACTTTCTGCAAATCCATCAACTGAGGCTTTACCATCCTCTGTTTAATTTATAAAAATAGGGAGACAATAATGACATCATTTTTAAAAGTAACAGCCACAGATGTAGCTATGCCTGGCAGAATTGAAGGGTATCTAGCCCTCCTGCTCATTTGATTGATATAAACTGTTTTCAGTGGGTCTAATCACACTGAGGCTTTCTATCTATGGTTTAGTTGGCTGTATTGATCAAATTAATGAAATGATTACTGCATTTGTACTTACTTAGCACTGTGTAGGCTTAACTATTGAAAGGAATTGTGTTTCCCAGACTACAATTTAGTGAACTAGTGCTTTAGGGCTCCCATTAATGCTGCAATAAAGTTCACCTCTTGAAGCTGCAGTTTACACAAATACCACCTAAGGAATGGCCTAAAATTTAAAAAGAAAAGAAATTCCACTCACAAGTAAATGTTATGATGGCTGATTTAGTCACACTCCAGCTCAGAATAATACCATGTATCAAAATCTACTCTAAACTGTGGATTATTAATTAAGATTGGAATAACACAAAACCAAAGATTAGAATTTCATTGTCTTTAATTCAAATGTTAAAAACTTATATTGTAGAAAAATTATTATTATGTATTAACACCAACATCTGGTAACAAAAATATCTCCCTTTCCAAAATATCCACTAAGAAATTCAGAGAGAATTACATTTAATTGATGACTTTGAAAGATGTACATTGCCTATAATTTTTAAAACATCATTTGATGCTTCTATATAATTTGGCTACAAGTATAATTCCCTGCCCCCTCTCTGGACCACTCACATACCCAGGAACTACACATGTCTAATTGTTAGCAGCTTCTACACCAAGTTGCTGACTATTAGAAATCCTTCCAGATGGCTGGAACTTTGCTATGGTAGCTGAATATTTTAACAATCTGGGCATGGTTTTCTTGACTGTACGACCAATGCTTTTAAAAGAATTGCAGGGGTTGCAAAAAAAATCAAACACGTAAAATTAATCATGCAACTTAAAATGTTGACTCCAGAATTCCAAGGGTGTAGGTTTCTTGAACGTATTATTCTCACTATACATAAAGCAACTATTAGCACTATTGAGATGTAAATAATGTTTTTATGAGGAACATTCAATCATTTCCCTTAGTGAGAATACTAAATATTCCATTACCTACAGGCTTTAGAACTGTCTCTTTATCCTTGCATGTAGAAAACAAATTGTGCTCAAGCAGTCTTCATACCCCTCTAATGTGTGAAAGCAGTAATGCGGGCTTCATTAATCATCTAGATGGATGAGTTCACTTTTACTCACTTATGTTTTCTTTATTGCATCTTCCTCTTTCTTGTCTTCTCTTGTATCTTCTTTACAAACCCAAATTAAATAACAAGAACTAGCCATCGGGGAAAAGAACACCACAATTGTGTACAGTCAATAATTTGATTCATTTTGAAAATGTTCTTTGTGCTTAAAGAAAAGCACAGCTTATATTCTGGTCTCTGTAATTCAAATCCTGTGGTATGTATGAACCAAAACAACCATGATGTCTTGACTGAGTATAATTATACTTTCTAGTTATCCATGATCTGAATAATTCTAATTGAGTAAAAAGAATTATATTAAAATATCACCTCAAATGGCTGTGACTCATCCATATGGCTGACACTGACAAAGTCAAGCATTTAATTATTTAAAACAATTTAATAATGATCATCTATTAATAATTATATATCCATAAAATAATTCAATTCTTTTTGAATTTTAAAAGGATTCCACATACTATGTTCCAATTAAATTCTGATATGCTTAAGAAAACTACACTTTAGTTTACTTTATTTTTACTTTAAAGAGAAAAAACAAGAACAAAGACAAAAACAAAACAGCATAAAACAATAAAAATGATACAGAATTTCAAACAAAGAATAGGAAATTAATAAAGATTGTTATATTTCATATAGTTATCATCAAATTTGTTGTACATATTACCAGATATAAGCATACAAGATTGATCCAACAATTAAAATATTAACTCTTCTTTTCCATAAATCATGAATTTTTTCTTTGCCCTTTTAATTTTAAAAATTTATTTTATAGAATAAAACAATAATAGATAAGACATTTTAAAAAATTAGAAGCATTCAGCAGTGCTCATGATATTGCATATTGCTGTTTTCAATATAGTTACTCAAATTACAGATACACAAAAAATTGGTCAAAGTAAAAAGTTTAAGCATTAACTTCTACCTTCAAAAAACTGATAGAAATAAGTCGTACAATCACCTTAGCGATCCCATCTATATATGATTTTTTTCACTTCTTTTTTTCTTTATCTTTCTCCTCTCCCTCATCTCAATTGTTTATTGGTTATGCTCAGTTTCTTTTCCTTTTCCCTTATCTATTGTGTAGCTCAGATTTTATTTATTCCTTTAGGTTCTTACACTAGGAAGACAGTACGATGTTTGCACACATGGGTCTGATTTATTTCACTTCAGTATGGTTTTTAGTTGCATCCATTCATCTATAAAAGCCTCAAATTTATGTTTCAATAAACATAAATTATAGCTGAATAATACTCCATTGTGTAAAATTACCACATCTTCTTTATCCATTCTTTAGGTGATGGGCATTTGGGTTACTTGCAAGATTTAGCTACGACAAATTGTGCTGCTATAAACATGGGAACACGTGTACCACTGTGGTATGATGATTTCAGTTCTTCTGGAAAAATACCCAGAAAGGGAATAGCTGGCTAGAATGAGACCTCCAATCCTGGCTTCTTGAGGCATTTCCATACTGACCTCCATAGTCGCTGCACCAGTGTACACGCTCACCAACAGTGGAGAAGGCTTCCTTCTCTCCATAGCCTCGCCAGTATTCCTTATTAGTTGAGTTTTGTATGACAGCTTTTCTTTCTGGAGTGAGATGGAATCTCAATGTTGTTTTCATTTTCATGATGACCAGGGAATGATCAGTTCTGTGAAACATATTTTGATGTATTTATTTGGCACTTGAGAAAACTACATTTTAAAGAAAAAATCAGCTCCTAAAAGGTAACAATTAAAGTGAATTTTTTATGAACCCAACAATTTCAATTATCCTAGTAGAAGTTATTATTTTTTTGAAAAAAGTTTTACCAAAAAATACAAACTGTGTTTTGATTCATGGGAATCATGTTTCCTATTTTATTTTGCCTTTCTTTTAGTAGTGTTAATCACCTCTTATTAGCTTAGTTATGACGTTCTCAATATTCAGATTCTTTTTCTCCATTTTCAGCAGTATGACACAGACTTATCATTAAACTTTTGTGCACAATTACGGTTGGGGAAAGGCTTCCACAGACGTAACTTTTGTCACTCACTGTGCATCTCAGGGGAATGCATGGTTTTTGCCCAGTGTTTTCGACTTTTATTGTCTGCCATCTCTTTGTTTTCACTCATTCCATAAGATCAACCCTCCTGGAACACAGTTCCATGTCCTAATCTTGGAAAAGCATCTGTTTGTCCTTTGTCCCTGCTTGTCTCTGGGCTGTACCGCAATCATCCTAAATTTGCCATCTCAAAACTAATGTGCTCAAACTTACTCTCTTTGCTTTAGTATACTAGGTACCAACTAGCAACTATGTTCAATAAATGAGCACGGTTATGAGTGAGTGGATGAATAGAAAGTAGTTATTTCCTTCTATCTAAGCTGCCATCAATCCTTTTTTGACCAAGCCTTTGGAGATCTGTCCTTGCATTTCATATTCATAGTACTCCCCATTTATCTGTTTTGTCCCAGGCATTATTCCAAGCAGAGTAACAGTCCTCCCTGGCCCTTAGGAAATCACCAGTTGCGTGATTCTTACTGATGCCATCTGCTTGGGTTGGAAGTGAGGGTGGTGTCAAGACAGGCTGGCAGTCTCTTTCAAATCACATGGCAAAGTCTAACTCTGTTCAACATCCGCTTAATTCTGCAGAAGATACAGGCAAAAGAAACATAAATATGAATGCTTCCTTTGTCTTAGCATTCATAAAGCTGATGGAGCAAGGTTAAGGCAAAGTTTAACGATGATTCCAACTCTTGCTTACAACTTGTTGGTTCAGTTAACCAGACATTGGGAGGTTGGATTTAGAACAACAAAGCAGGACATGATGATAAGTTGAATTGACCTTGAGTCTTGTCGCAGGTCCCAACTGATAAGACAGCAGTGAACTAAAAGCTGACTTGATGGCTTCAGTGCTGCTGTCTATGGGTATATGGCATGGCAGGAGCAGGAAATGGTTCTTTAGTGATAAGCCGGAAAAATTAGTCCTTAAGGTGAAAGGACTGAATGGAGTGATACCTGAAGTCTCCTTCCAGCCCGAGCATCAATAGATCTTAAAGCAGCCACCAAGAGATCAAAGGAATTTAGAGGAAAGAAATGGAGATATAAATCCTGATTTTATTCTACATTAAGATTTAGACAAATGTCTCACGTGATTTGTATTTTTGTATTCTTTGGAAGCAGTAGTCACAGATTACTACCATAAACATAATATGCAGGTTCATGGAGCATGTTTGTCTGACTTACTGTGTTTAATTCCATGGTGGTCACATAAGACAAGAAAAAGAGAAACGACGTAAAGATCTGGAACAAAAATGCTCATAACTATTACCTCAAAAACAAATTCATAGTTCATAATCCAGACAATTACATTTTAAAGCAAGTCACTAAAGAGTCATAATTTAATGGACTATTTATATAGGTACTTAACTCAGGACATACCAATTAAATCCGCATTCTGAGGAACAATTAGAAAGGCATTTCTCTTGCTCAGACCTGAATGTGCCAGAGTTATTTGTATATTTTTGTTTTACCTGATAATTTCATAGACACTTTTAGTATTTTTAATCTCTTTTACACAAGAGGATTGAAAAGGTGCATCATTTAATACATGCATATATATATTTAAACCTTTTCCTTTTTGAATAAAACATAAATCCAAAATTCCGTGAGGGAAAGAATCTAGCAACAATTGATGCGACTCACTACCTGCAGGTTATGTGTTTTTTTTTCTCTAAAATTAAAACATATAAACCATCTACACTTTCATTAAATCTTTTATTTGCTGTGGGTGTAATATATTCTTAAGCTGACAAAGCATGACAGTAATGTTTGGACTAAATAAAAATGCATCCTTTTGTTCTGAGCCACCACTAAGAATTACGGTGCTGGTGCTTTAGTTCCAACAAAAGTGCAAGTAATTTATGGCTTCCTCCATTGTTTTGAGAACAAAATTCAAATGTTGATTTTAAGCTTCTGTATCAGTCACTTTCTAAAACAGAATCTCTAGACTATAATAGTATATAATTTTAATTAATAAATAAGTACAGATAAGGACGTGTTAATGACATGAAGTCATTAATATATAGCTACTTTCTCTTAATTCAATGAGAAGAAAGATTTGTACTAATAGTGTTTGGACAGAATATCATGTCTGCATCTTGGACTATGAATAACCACTATGAAGACAACAATATGCAATGTATTAATTATTGAAACTGTCCTATTAATCTGTTTTGAAATTGTCTCATGGCTATTTGTTTCTCAATAAAATTAATTTTTAAAAAAGGACCACTTAAATATTGAAATTTTTATTTGGATTTATTTTAAAGTTCCGCATATATTTTCAGAATGTTAACCTTTCTCAGATGACATACTGGAGCTTGAGAATAAATTGTAGCCGGTGCTTAAGAATTTACCATCTGTTCTTTCATTTTCTGCAAATGAGATAGATGGTTACAAACCTAAAGCAGCTCTATAGCTATCTTTGGTACATAATTTATTATACGTGATTAGAGTCCAAATTAAGTACACGTACAGATCACACATATGCATGCACGCACAAGCACACATGCACACATTCATGGTATCTCATGAAATACGCCCTCCTTGCTTTTCAGAACCTTTACCTGAAAAAAAGAACTGGTGTATGTACTGTGAAATAAAATGTGGCTTCTGCCCTCTGCTGGTGCCGATTAGAAATAACAGGCTTAACATTTATGGACCTTTTACTTGAGTAAAATCTCTGCAAATCCTTCGCTTTTCCCCAGAGCCTCCCCACTGGACAAAGAAACCTGAGAGTGGTGTGTACAGCATGGGCACCAGTGGTATCCTGTTGTGTCAGGCCGAAGGAGAGCCGCAGCCTACAGTCACATGGAAAGTCAACGGCCTCCCAATTGACAGTGAGTAAAATCTCCACTTGTAACAAGAGAATGGGATAATTCATGAATATCATGAATAATGAATAATCATTATAATTTATGATTAGACAACCTTGATATTGTTTAGAAATGGAGTTAGGATATTACTATGTTGGCAGAAGGGGTCTAACCGGAATCAGAAGTTGCCTCTTAGTGAGCAATTTGATTGTTGAGATTATATAACCATGGAAAAGCCATAGCTAATGTTTACCTGGTTAAGTCATTATACTAATTAAATAAAAATTAGCTAAAATAGGACAGCAACTTAATAGGAGACAGGTTGGTTCAAAAGCGGAAGTAGTTTTTTATTTGTCCCCCTGAGATGGACACGGTACTTGGTGGTTGGGAGCACAGCTGGGAAATCAAGAGCTCTCTTAAATTCCAACCACAGCTACCTCCATCCTCGGCTCTGTCCCTTTCCTGGCTGTCCTCTGGTCACGTTTTTCTTCCTGATTTGAAAATATTCTAGGAAGAAGGGCATCCCATGCTTGAATCTGTGCTTGGTACCCTCTTTACTCTAAACCAAGCTCCAGTACCCAAGATATAAAGCTTTCCTTTCAGGCCTCCATACTCCAAGTTTCCAAATCCTGAATTTGAATTCAGAGCTCAGGTATTTTTAAATGCATTTGTTCAGGCAGGAGAAGAGTACAGCCTTCATGTAGCAGGTGATTAGCTGTGCTGAGAACAAGTACCATAGTGGATATGTATGTGGTGCCACTCATTCCTTGGTCTTGGACGGGCACCTGGTGGGCAGAATCTCTCGAGGCCCACGGACCTTAGAGCCTATCTCAGCTGTGTTCCTGCCTAACTCTCTTTACTAATTCTTCCCTTGTGAAAATTTTTAAAACTTCAAAATGGAGATAATGGTAGTTGGTTGTGATCAAATGAGCCAAGCAGAGCCATTTGCCTTGGGCAGCGGTTTGCCTGTGAGTCCTGTGGTCATTCATTAGCTCTGGAGCCAGGCCGCCTGTGTTTGCATGTCACTTCCTCCATTTACTAGCTTTGTGACTAGGAACCACACTGACTCTTTCAAAATTATTTCCTCATCATTGAAAAAGGAAACAGAAGCAGCAGTGACTCAGGGGGCTGCTGTGGACAGTCAAGAGGACCCCACTCAGAGACTTTCTACATGCAACCTGCCAGAAAAGCAGCCACTTGGAAGTGTTGGTTATCGCTACTGTTTGCACAGAAGCCACCCTGAGGAAACCTTAGCAATTATTATTAATATCTTCAAGTGTGAGACTTTTCCTCATTTCTTTAGAGAACAGAACAATAGATAAAATGAGTTTTGGGGTAGATGCAACAGATACAAAATCAATTTTTGTTTATAAGAAAACTTCTCAAGTAGGGAATGCAAATTCTTAGGGACACACACAAGCTCATAACTTTGACTGATGTTTGTCTGGTCATGAGAAGCATTCACAAATTTGCGAAAGAAAATTATAAAAGAGGTACTACTGTAAGCGTTTGACAAATCCATTCATATAATATTTACTGAGCAGCTCCTATGCGTTGGACGGTGACTTATCACTTAGGATATGGCAGGGAATAAAATAGACAGAATCCTTGCTCCACCAGCTCTAATATTCTAGTGACCAGTGACATTCAATAGGCAAATAAGCAAAAGTACAGAACAGCTAGGGTAGGAGAAGAGTGAAGGAAAAATCAGAACCAAGGTTTCTGTATTATTGTAATATCATGTGAGACTCCTGTGGTAAGATACCTTTGAGTTGGGACTTGAAGGAGGGAAGGAATTCAGCCATGCTGATAACTGTGAAAATGCAAACAGGGGAGAGAGATCAGGGAATCCACAGACCCCGTGGCCAGATGAGGAAAAGTGGGGCCTGGCGGGACTGAAGCTAGGGGACGGGGCAAGCACAGTGTTAGGTGTGAGATCGGCCACCTGTGATGGCCCCACAGTACAGGCAAAGGTTAAGTCTGTGTGGAGATTTGAGTGGTTTTTGCAAATAGATGTGTGTCTTATGAGACTTTAGGTGGAAGAGTAGTGATGTGATGCAATTCATGTGTCCCCTTCCATTCTGTGAATCGAGACTGCTGTGTGATTACAGCCAGAGGCATCTGAACAGGGCTGATGCCTGCAAATGGGAGGCCCTGAGTTCAGTTCCGATTACTGCCCTAACACAAAAAAAGTTGTACATCAAGTTTAGTAGTGGTTCCATTCTAAATTTCTTCTTAAAATAGAGCCAACAGGTTTGTGAATGAGTGATAAGACCACGGCTGAAAATATACTTCTGGTAGATCTGAAAAAAAAGTTCCATCTTCAGCTCCCAAGTTTAATGTTGTTACCACAGCTCCTGAGTGTAGTTCTCCTAGAGCCTCAGTAAAGAGGTCCCAAGCATGCAGAGGGTGACTTGTGTGATGACACTGGCCTGACTAAAGGGTGTGAAATCTCTTTGAACTTGTACTTTTAGAAATTGATATTCTAACAATGTAATGCCCTACTTACTTAGAAATTAAAGCAAAATGAATCATGCTGTCCTATGTCACATGTTCAGCATCTAATATTTCTGTAATGTACTGCAAGCTTAAAAGTCTGTATTTTATTATTCTGCAGTCTGCAGATGTTTCAACCAAAGCTCACAGAGGTCATGTTACTAACTTGGGGTTATAATCCAAGTAAATTTAGAGGGAGAGATGGAGCTCAGAAATGAATTAGGTTCATAGTGTTATTTCTTCCCTCTGTATTGCATTATTTTCTGTGAGTCTGATGAAAGAGGAACTGACAAATAATTTCTGAATTCTGTAAGGACTAGGACTAATATAGTCTGCTTGGAAACATTTTTTAAAAAAATGGTTCAGTTGATGCTCAAAACTATTATTTTCTTCCAGGACAGAACATGTGGTGCAATTCTGGAAGGCCAACTTGAGCAATATGAATTGTTTTTTATCTCAAACATGAGTTCAGAAACTCTCTTTTTCTTCTGCTTTGTTGTGTTGATTTAAAGCCTACCATGCGGCTGAAGGCAAAGGAAAACTCAAGTGGCTGTCCAGCTAGCCACAAGGCTAAAATCTCCCCCGTGCACAGCAGGAGCACAGGGCCGGATCACTCAGTCTCCTGCAGCACTTTTTGAGCTCAGACTGAAAAAATCTTGCAAGAGTTCTTCATCTTGCTAATTCTCAATAAGATGTGATGAGTTGTCCCCATAAATTTTATAACATTCTAATGTTGCTTGAATAAATTACCAGAAGTTCACCAATTTAAAATAGCACAAATTTACTGTTCTACAATTTTGAAGGTTAGAAGTTGGGCACAAGTCTTAGTGAGATAAAATTAAGGGTGCTGTGTTTCTTCCTAGAGATGCCAGAAGAGAATGTCCTTGCTTTGTCCTTCCTAGTTCCCAGAGTTCATCTATGTCTGGTGCCCCCAGCTCTCATCCTCCGCATTCAAGGCCAGCAATTCTCAATACTGCATGTGCCAGCGTTTACTTTCATGGTCACACCTTCCTGTGGCTCCAGACAGGAAATATGTTTCTGACTTTAAAACTGTATAGTTACATATGGCATGTCTGGGTAGCCCTGGAAATTTTCCAATTTTAAATCTCAAAATTCTTACTCTTAACCATTTCTGTAATGTTCTTTTTTACACGTAAATAAAATGTTTATAAATTTTGTAAGAACCTGCACCTCTTTTAGAGGCTTTGTTTTCCACCTCCTGTTGGAGATCTTTCATCAATAAAATGCTGAGCGACATATTTTTTTTTTCCAGTCTTTTAAACAAGTCTTTACTAACAACTGCCTGCCCTGGGACAGCTGCCTGTCCACGTCCAGCCACATAGACGAGGTGCTGCCCTCTGCAGGTCACAGCCAAGTGAAAGATGTCTATTCATGACTCCACGAAAAAACAATGCATAAGAAAATTCTTCTGTCTAAACATGTCCCATCTCAAGTTTTCTAAAATCTAAAATTTACTGTAGTGATTATTTTGCACAATGAAAACACAGTAGGGAAAAAATGGTGTTTTTGCATCATTTAAACTAAAACGTTCACCTTTCTGAAATCTACCTTCTAAAATGTCTGTGTAAACTTGCTGCGCCAGATTATGAGCCGAGTCAATGAAACTGGCAGCATGTAATAGAGTGAATTTGACATTAATAAATAAATAAAACAGATGTACTATATATACTCATTTTAAAAGATAATGTCAGAATCAGGAAAGACTTAGAATTTATCACAAAAATTTGAAGGCCTGGCCTTTGATATCAAGGAGGGGTTTGTCTTGCTGGAGAATTAAAAGCAATGTATGTGAAATAGTAACATAGTAAAACAAGGCTCATTAAATGAATGGTGTGGATCAGAAAATTACAGAAGTGGGCTGGCCAAATAGCTCAGCAGATTACAGCACCTGCAAGCATGTCCTGTGCAGGGGCCCAGTGTTCGATCCCCCAGCTTGCCTGCCGGCCCCGCCCCCAGGGAGCGCTGAGACTCCAAATGAGACTGGGCATGGTGGCACACACCTGCAATACCAGCATTTGGGAGGCTGTAAACAGGCAGATCATTATGAGTCTCATCTAGTAGTGAGGTCCTGAACACCTTCTAGGCCCTTCCCTAAAATAAAAAAGCAAAAAGGAAAATTAAAAAAGGAATGAGGAGGAAAATATGGGCATAAGTGTCAAAGGACAAAGTGGCATCCAGGGTTGGTAGGAGGGAGGATAACCTTGCGGTGACCATATGCTCTGCGCTGAATTCAAAAGAGTAAGTGGGAGGCAGTCCATAGTGGGATTTGAGCACCTCGTGGATAATTTGGAATCTTATTGTAGCAGAGATATAAAGTGGCAATGAAATGTTTTAGACATTAACAGATATTCTGATAATGAATGTCTATTTGAAGGAATTTTGAAAATGTTAAAAGATTGGAAAAGGGAAATCCATGGTTAATGTTGGAAAGCCTGAAAATGGGTTTCAGTGAATATTGTTCAATCTAAACTGGTTTTAAGGCATGAACACTTATTTCTTAAGTGACACACTTAAGAAATGGTATATAAATATTTCACATCCCATTCTTTATCATACTGACACTCTCTAACCACTTTCAGAGTATCCCTTTGCAGGTGATGTTGTCCTTCCTGGGGAAGTTAGCTTCAGCAATATACATCCGAATCACACTGCTGTGTACCAGTGCGAAGCCACAAATGTGCACGGGACTATCCTTGCCAATGCCAATGTTGATGTTTTAGGTGAGTACACTTGGAGTAGAATAAGTTACTCTTTTCTGAAAGAAAATGTTCATTTATAGCTGGTCCCTAAATACCGGTTGAATTCTTGATGCATAAAACATAGCCAAAAATAATAAAAATATAAATGCCTTTCACCTTATGTGTGGATTTAATACTCTATAGTAAAATTTTACCTTTGTAATGTATTGAATTTAGAAATTCTTTGAATTTTAAATCATTGTACTGTATTATTTCGCTGTCTTCCACTTTTATCCATATGATGAGGACATAGGAACTTTAAATTTTTTAAATGTTTTATTCATTAATTTGGTACAAGGTCTCACAACCCAGCTTGGACTTGTAGTGATCCTCCTGTGTCAGCCTCCCCAGCGTTGGGGTTACAGGCATGACCACACCTGGTTTTGGTGGCTGGCCTGGTATGCCTGGGATTGTTGGGCTGGCATAATGTGGTATTGGGAATTGATCCTGGGTCCTTGCACTTGCCAGGCAGGCATTTACAGCACCAAGCCATCTCCCCAGCACCATAAAAACTTTTATAGATAATGCTATTTGCTTTTAAACAAGTCGTTAAAACTCTATTTTGTTATTTTCAAACAGATATTATTCCAATAATACAAACTAAAGATGAAGAAAATTATGCTACCGTGATTGGCTACAGTGCATTCCTCCACTGTGAATACTTTGCTTCACCACGGGCGGTTGTTACTTGGTAAGCTGCCACACTGTTTTCTTGGGACAATGTCTGAGGCAGACTTTCGCCTTGTTCCTTTACCCATCACTTGCCAAGCTGCACTGTGTCCAGCCAGTGCCCCCAGGAAATGATGAAGCGAACCTTATTACCTGTCTTTTCTGGGAATATTGGCTTAGTTTCTAGAATTTCTCACATGAGTAAATAATGGAATTCATTTATAATTATAAAGAAAAGTAAAGAATTAAAGTGATTCCTGAGATAACTTTAAAGATAGATTTGTTTTTTTCATTATGCAGAAATAGAAGGTCACATATTACTTCACTGTTGCCATCATGGAAGCTTACATTGAATTCCAAATACAGATATTGAATTGTTAACAATATGCATTTTAATTTTCATTTTAATATTTTCATTGGTGTCCTTAGTCCAAACACATTATCTTATCAATGTGACACATTGGTTCCTTTACTGCAAAAGGTTGGTTAACCTGCTATTTCATAATTGGGCCATTATTCTGTAGGACCTGGTATAGTATGAAATGAGAGTGGGTCATGAAACTGCAGGTTCAGATCTTGTATACACTCAAAACTAAAGTTGTGATAATTTGTTCAGCACATTAATTTTTGCATGTTTAATTTTTAAACAATTCCAGTAACAAAGGTGTATTATTGCATTTCTGAATACTCTGGAGGCTGAAACAAGAGGATCACAAGTATGAGCTTAGGCTCAGCAAATCAACATGACTCTTTTTTTTTTTTTTTAAGTTGAAGGCTAGAGCTTTAGGTCAATGTGAAGGAACTGGGTTCAATTCTCAGTACTGGAAAAAAAAAAACTAAGATATTAGTGATGCTTCTTTTTTAAAGGTTGGAAACCCTTCGAAATTTAACTTTTAAGGAAAGCCCCTCCTTCACTTTAGCCCAAACTCCAACCTCTGAGCAGCAGCCACAGTTTGACCTTTGAAATTTGGTGTCAAAGAAGTCCCCTAAAGGGGCTGGGGAGATGGCTCAGTGGAATAAAGCACTTCCCTGGCAAGCGCAAAGGCCTGAGTTCAATCCCTGGTTCTGAAAAAAAGAAGAAGAAGAAGAAGAAGAAGAAGAAGAAGAAGAAGAAGAAGAAGAAGAAGAAGAAGAAGAAGAAGAAGAAGAAGAAGAAGAAGAAG